TATAAGAAAAAAACGACGAAGGCAGGATTCGAACCTACGCTCCACAAGGGAAACTGATTAGCAGTCAACCGCCTTAACCACTCGGCCACTTCGTCTTTTACGTAAGCAGTCTCGAAAATAAATATTCGAATTAATATTATCACAATTACAACCAACAATATTTTTTTAAAAACATATAAAAAGCGATCCTATAACTTTTCAAGATAATAATTTATCCTTTATTTCATTTATTATATTATCAGATATACAATGATAAAGCAATGAAAAATTTCATTTCAAAATATCTTCAAAAGATATTCACTTTATTCTCTCATCGTAATCATATCTTTGTATCAAACAATAATAATATTTAAAATTTTCTCAAAATATTTTAAGGATTATTCGAATTTTATGGTTAGTGAATACTATTTTTCCACCTAGTAACATATTTAGTAACTTAAAAGAAAATATGATCTCAGCAATCTTGCTAACTTGTACAATTTAGGTTTTTTTGGAAAATTTTGTATTGGGAAAAAAACAATTTTCCTCATTCAAATCCAAATTATTCTCATCAAATTTTGAAGAAAAAAATTTCAGGAGGGAAATATCACTCCACTTTCTTTTCAAGTGTGTTAGAGTATAGCGAGAGAGTATAAATATACTTGAAAAGAAAGTGGAGTGGCATTTTCTGAATATCAAAAAAAATGGCTTTTTAGTTTTGCCTTGTTTTGTTCGTGAAATTCAACAAGTTTTTAGTCAAAAAATGATTTACAAGCAAAATCTAAAAAATCCCAAAAATTGCAATATTTTGACTTTTCCTCAATTCATTGTCTTTTAAAGCTTTTTTTATGTTTATAGTATTTTATTTCAATCTTCACTGAGTATAAAATTCGAATAGTCCTAAAGATTTAAGGGGATTCAATAAAAAATTAAAATTTTTGACCACAAAACAAAAACAATTCAACTGAACTCTTGTATTATCTCAACAAGATTTCATTTTATTTTTAAAAAAAATATCGTTGCCTTAAAAAAATTTAATTGTTAAAATTCTGAAATATATTTTGGGTCATGAAAATAGAAATGAATTTTCAAATAATTTTCAATTGATAAAATATTTATTTGATAAGTAAAAAAATATTTGAACAAGAAAGAAGAAAAACGAAAAACAAAAAATAATGATTTTAAAAAGAAAAAACATAAAATTTCGACTCAAACTTACTCAATTTAATAAAAAAAAAAAACAGAACTTTCTTTTTTTATTATTAAAGAAGTGTAAATTACACTCTAGTTGCCCTTAGACTTAAATTCCCTTTCATAAATTTAAGCGGAAAATCATAAATTTCATGATTATTAATTAATGAAAATAATTTAAAACTATCACAGTTTAAAATCAATTCATCAAGATTCATTTGTTTCAATTTATTGTGAAAAATCAATCTATCTTTTTCATAGAAAGGACATATCCATAAAAAGTGATCAATATTTTCTATAATTTCCTTTTGTTTATATTTTAAACATAAAGGACAAAATTTATTTGAATTTTTATTAATTACATCGTACTATCTATTTAAACAGTTAGTCAATGTACCGAATTTTAGAATTGTTGAGCTTGAGGGATAACTTAAATATTTTTGAGTTTTAAATAAATAATTTTGTTTTTTTATTATTGTGAGATATTTTTGGACCTTCCGACTTGTTGAATTCAACAACTCGTTATATGTGTATTTGTATATTTTTTTTTTTAGTTCAATAATATCTTTTGAATTCCAATTAATTTTATTATTTATTCTTTGATCAAACTTTATTAATTTTTATAAATAAGGAAGAGATAAATTTCCTAATTTCTTTTTCAATTTAAATTTCTTATTATTGATAGAAATTATCAATAAAAAACAATACTTTCCCTGAATCTTTTAATATACGTTTATTGAAATCAAATACACATTTGAAAAAAAAAAAATTTAAAAGATTCTGAATTAAAGATAATTCATTATATGGGAAATTTTAAGGATTCAAATAGCTATAAAAATAATTATTTATTGATCTAAAAACTTGAGAAAATTTAGAACAAAATTTTAATAGATAATAAAAAATGAATTTTGTTTGCTCAAGGTACTCATTAAAGACTTCATTTTCTAGTATATTTAAGGATAGCTGTTCTCAATAAATTCTGAAGAAACCTCACTGAATCTCTTTTTTTATTTTGGTTTATGTTCTTCAAATCCTTTATCCAAAAGATTAAAATAAATTATTATTGAAAAAAATATTTTTGATTTTTTGGTGTTTTTTTTTTCCTACCTTTGGTTTTTTGGTTCTATTCTAAATATCCAAATACTACAGAGTCATAATTTATAGTAGTGTTGATTTATGGTGTAATTAATCAATTTTTCTGAGTTATTATTATTTATGTATGAATAACTGGTCCAAATTACAAACCAATGGGATAAAACTCTTCTTAGGTATATTTATAAGTCCTTGTTTAGTGAACATTTAAACTATATACCATTTCAAAAATTATAACTCACCTGAAATAATAAATTGAAAAAAAAAAATATTCTTTAGTATTGAAGAGCAACTAATAATTAAATCTGATTAATAATTCACTTTTAAATCATTCTAAAGATATAAAAACCTGATATATTAAAAATTAAGAAAAATAAAACCAAAAACTGGAAAAAAAAAAGAGTCACAATTTTTTAAATGAACATTACCGATTTTTGATTATGAAATTTCCACTAAAAAAAAGTTAAAAAGAAGATTTCTTATGAATAATTAAATTCATTTATAAAAGAGATTACAGAGTCTCAATTTTCTTAATGTTTATTTGTATTTTCGAAGATCTTTTATTTTTCCATATTATCTTGCAAAAAAAAAATTATCAAAAAAAAAAAAAGAAGAAGTGAAAAAAAATAATGAAAAACAAAAGAAAAACAAAAATTTGAAAAAGCAAAACAAAAATTACAAAAAATTAGAAAAAATGATTCTAATCCTTAAAATTTGAAAATATTTTTTTGATAAGAATACGGGAATAAACCCTCAGAACAACTTCCATAAATATCATAAACTGAGTCAAAATTTTTGAACTCTAGCTTAAATTGAAATATATATATATATCCTGTACCCTACACGATCATGAAAAAATTTTTTTCTAAAAAAAATCAAACATTTGCTAATTTTTCCCTTTTTGATAACTTCACTTATAATTAACACTATTGGTTTATAAAAGATCTTTGATCGAAAATTATTTTTAAAGTATTCAACCATTTAAAGTTGTAAAATCCAATTTTCCAGGTTCTATTAAGATTTTTTTTAATTTAATAGTAAAAAATTTGATTAATTTTTTCTTCACACGAAGGGGTTATTTTCATATATTTTAAAGTCATCTAAATATGATGAATACATTTCAAATAGGGAATCAATTATTTTGACTATTAAAGAATTATTTTTTAAAATGGAAAAAATATTTGTTTTTGATTTTCCGTTCAGTTTTCCAGAATTCAAAAAAATAGAGTAAAATCAATAGATTTTACTGAATTTTTTGAATTCTGGAATACCGCCGTTAGCGTTTCTTGAGTTTTCTGTTTATTTGTGAAGTGTTCTAGGTTTTTTTTACTTTAGAACTAAACCGAAAATTTATTAATATTTTCTGTTTATTTCTAAAGTAAAAAAAACCTAACGAAAATCGATAGATTTAACAAATAAGACAAATAACCCAAAAAAACCTAACGAAAATCTAATGATTTACCAAATAAATAGAAAAATCAAAAAAACCTAACGAAAATTTATTAATTTTCGAAATTTGATCAACTTTTTGCAAATTCAATCCAATAAAATGAACATGATTACAAGACAAGGAAAATTTTTTAAAAAAAAAATCTCTAAATTTTGTATTTTTGAAATACACTCATATAATAAACATTATTATACACAACAATTTTGAAAAAGAATTACAACTTTAATAGATATTAATCGGAATTGAAAAAAAAATGAAATTTTTCAGTAATATTTTTTTCCATTTTTAATTGTAAAATTTTTGAATTTTTTTTTTTGACTTATTGGAGATAATTTTCAAGTATTTTTTTAATAGTATAAAAAGTAACATATTTTTCAATTTGAAAAGAGCACAAAATATTTCAATCAAAAGGTATCGCTAAATTAAATTAAAAATCTGATTTTTTATCTGTTTTTGGAATATTTTTTATCATTTTATTTTTTTTCCATGTACGAGTTTTTATATACATTCACGATTGTTTTCTGCAAATTGCTTTAACATTTATTCTTTTTTCAATCTTAATGTTAAATCAAAAATTAATTCATTTCAACTTTTTTCATTAAAAAAATACCCCCAAAAAATAGGTGTTTTTTTCAAAAGTCGGTATTTTTGAAAAGGGTGGTATTCGGATTTTCATGAGTTTAACAGCTATCCTTTTTTTTTTAAATAAAATTATGATAACTATGAAAAAATAATTTATAAAAGAAATATTACTGAAATCCAAGGTATAGTTTTGGCTAACTTTAATTTTCGATGTTTAAATTTTCCTTGTAGTGTATCATTATATTCAAACAAGACCTTGATATTTCTTGGTTCTGGATTTAAAAAGGAAACTCATTAATCTCTTATCGACCACTTGTGGATATTAAGAATTACAAAATCAGTTAGCTAATTCTATCAGATAGTGGGAAATCTATAAAAAAAGATTTTTATTTGTTTGGGAAGAACCCATTAACAGTTAAAAGATTACACCTTGAAAGAGAAAAGGAAAATATGAAATTAATGGACACCCTTAACTTAAAGTATCATTATTAATAAATAAATATTAAATCTTATGGGATAATGAAAATTTTTTTCAATTGTAGATCATTTGATTTTTTTTTATTAGAATTTTTTTGAAATAAAAAAAGGGTTATTTCACAATTGATATCCTTTTTAGCTTTCAAGTCACTAATGAAAATGGAAAATTTCAATGGAAAGGACAGTTCCCTTAATAGTTGATTTATTGTCAACAGAAAAAAATTAAATAGGACAAAGGCAGGAATCGAACCTACGCTCTTTTTAAGAAATTTCAAATTTTAGAAATCGCCTTCACCACTCGGCCACTTTGTCTTAGAATCATTGTAATTAAAACAATGATTAATTCACAATACAGTAAGAATTTGAAGTTTTAGGGTCTAGTCATTTAAGGGAGTAGCCACGGTAAAGAAAAATTTTTCACTTTTGTGCAATTCTGAAGAGGATCAGAAAATAACATTTTTTACTCTGGTTGTACCTCATTGGTTTTTATTATTTAAAGTACTTCACTCATTAGATTTTTTAAATTTTTTTTTCAAAGTCTCAAAGAAATTGCCACAATAGAATGTTGAGTTGAATTACTTAAAATAGTGTTTTGAATGTTGAATGACTTATCTTTTATTCTTCTCTCAACATTCTATTGTGACATTTAATTTTTTCATTTTTTATTTTTTCATCATTTTTGAGATTTTTTTAATCCTGAAAAAAAAAAGCAATTAGAAATATTTTTTTATTTCTGGCATTTAGGATTAATGGATTTTGTTTAAAAAGAACAACAATATTACAATTGAGAGAATCATAAAAGGAAACATAAATGGGACTTAAATAGCTAGAAGAATTCCAAAATTAGAATAATTAAGTAGAATTATTACTTGTTAGGATTGTAAAACGTTGGGTTTAGTGGAATATGAGAAGTGAATATGATTATATGTTATCAAAGTTTAAACCACAAAATAGATACACTTTTTATTCAAAGAATCTGAAATTATCTTCTCCCAGAAAAAAAAACTAAACCCCATTCCAAAAATTTGGACACATCTAAAATCAAAAATAGTGAAACAAAAACTCAATTTACTATATTCTCCCAAACCTAAAATAAAACCAGATTTAAGTAACATAGTATTAATGGTTTTTTAAGTAATAATTTTCATCCAAATATAAGAAAACAATATAAAACAAAAAATCAAAACAAGTGTGTCCAAAAAAAATGAAACGAGCTGAAATGAAAGAGTTTGAACAAAAAATATATTGGTAGACTTGTTAAAATTACACCAACAATGGTTGATCGATCAAATGATAAGATACCATCAACAAATCGCATGTGGTTTTTCACTTGAAGAAACTCAACTGTAACAATCTAGTAACCTTCTATAAAAAATTTTCAGATCTAACTAAACCGATTAAGTACCTGAAAAAAAGAAAATGAAAACAAAAACAAAAAACACAAAAAATGATATAGTTTGTTGAATTAAAATTAATTTCCAAATTGATGTAAATCATGTTTTTGTTATTCTTCTAACTGTTTAAACTGTGTCCAAATTAATCGAATTAAGTTTATTTTAATAATAAAATAATAATAATAATAAAACTATTGTATTAATATAATCTCTTTTTTTTTATTGTTGAACATTACCAAAAAAAAAAATATCAAATAATTTTTTTAAAAAAATTTTTAGAGAATCTACGATCACACGCCACTAAAATAAAACGTTCTTATCTCATCTCTCTCAAATTTTTATCATGTCTTATGTTGTAGCTACTCCCTTAACATGACTTTGCCATACTCAAACAGTAACTTGAAACCTCAAAAGAATATCAATTGTGAAATAACTTTTCTTTTGTTTGACAAAATTCAAATAAACAAACAAAAAAATCGACAATAGATTTTCAATTTCTAAAAAATTCAATTAAAAAAACGAAGTTTAAAAAATTCTCAATTTCAAAAAATCAAAATTCAAAAAAAAAATATCTTGTTTCTTTTTTTAAATTTCACAAGGGTTAAATTTCTTCAATTTGAAACAAATTGCTTTCTTAAAGTATACAACTAATTTAATTTGACTTAAATTTAATATCTGGTTTGATTGTAACTCTCTATATTTGACAAAGTAATAATTTATGATCTTTTTTCGAAAAAATGACTCATTTGAGAAATTAAAAAAAATCAGAAAAAAAATCTTTGAAATCTCAAAAAGCGCCTAAGACCTACAACTTCAAAACTAAACATAGTTGTTTTTAAAATGAAAATTCATAACCATTCTAATTGGAAATTGAGTGTTCACTCTTTTCGAAAAATTTCATCTTCTTTAGTTGTTGAAATTTGGAGATAGATCGTACATCATAAGTTGGTTGGTTTTTAATTTCTAATAAGCACTCATAAATTTTTCGAAATTTTTTTTCTTTATTTTATAAAATTATTTTTAACTTTAATAACTTGACCCTTAGTTTAAAAGAAATTTTGTTTATTGTAACCATCATGGAAAAAAACGAAACAGGGAAAAAAAAGTTCAAAACGTTTTTTAATTGGGAACAAGCCTGAAAACGAAAAGTAAAATCAATAAAAAGAAGAAACCAATTAACTTCAAAAAATACTCCATTATATTATTTTCAATCAATCCAACAAACACAAATTAAATCTACTTTCATATATAAATTGCTTATGTGGTTTTTGAGATCTCAAAGATACTATTAATTGTATAATAAAAAGATCAAAATATTCATTCAACCTTCCAAAAAAATGATACCAACAATTAATCTAAATCATCAAACTTGCCAATTCTAAAAGGCAAATTAACAATTTAAGGAGGTTTAATGAATTATAATTTCGAAATGTTGTAATGGTTTCTAAGATCTTTTTTTGGAAATCTAAATGAAAATTTTATTTTATTTATTGGAGACAAATAGTACAGTTGTTTCAATAGCTTGTGTTGTCTTTAATAAATATTTTTTTTCGGATTTTAACTGTTGTTTTCCAAATTTTGTGTTTTGAGTGTTGTTAAGAGAATTTTTAAACAGTGAGTTGATGGTTTTTAATTGTTGTTGAAATAATTAAATTTTCAAGAGTGTGTCTTTATTTTTATCAAGGAAATCTACCTTGACAATAATATTTTCATTCTCGAAGTTATAATTGAAATTATTTTTTAAAGATCCTTTCAAAAACATTTTTTCTTTTAATAAATTGAAAGATCTTGATATGGTCAATGAAAATTGATCTTTTTTATAAGATTTAATTTGCTCTCATTCTGAAAATTGTAAAAATTGAATTGATTTTTAAATAATTTGGAAATTGAGCATGTTCTTGTCTAATTTTAATCAGATAAAATATTGTAAATTAACTTTTCATTCGATATGAAATATTCTTTCATTCTGGATTCGAATTTCATCCAATAGAGGAAAAAAAAGAATCAAAACAAATAAATAAAGTTAGTCAATTACAAGATATGATTTGAAGACATTAGACTAAAGCCTAAATGGAAAATGAACTGAATTTTTTTTTCATTTCAATTTCCAAAGAAAGTTTGAAAAATTAATGTCTCATTTTTTGCTATTGTGGAAATACCACCAAAATAGTTTTTAAGAAACTTTTTTAATCCTTTTTATGGTTTTGTTTTTTGTATTTATTCAAATTGATAGATTTATTGATTGTGGATTTTGGTGTTGGTTTGTTTAAATTTGGTTGAATTAGATCTATTTTATGAGGAGATTGGTGTTGAAGGTTGTAGAAAAACACGATAATCATATGATCTATTGTACACATTGGATGATTTGAAAGTATAGTTATACTAAATTGTATTTTTTATTAAACAACAAATTACAAACAGAAAACCATAGCTAAGAAAAAAGAGAAACTCATTAAAAAAAAAAAAAAACCGTTATTTACAAAAACAGCACTAATAATTTTGAAAAACACAAAGAAAGACGTCAACATGAGTTATTGAAACAACTGTCGTCAATTTTTTGAACAAATTTTTAATAATTGATCAATCAAAGAAAAATCTCATACCAAAAAGATTATCTTAAAAAAACTGTTATTGTGGAGAATACTTCATTGTGTCTTTATTTATTTATTTCTTTTATTAATAGATCTTTCTTTGAATTTTCAGGTTCCATTAAGGTTCCTAATTGAAAACAGTATTTCACTTTTTTTCCACAATTATAAACGATAAAGATCAAAATATTTATTCTGCTTTCCCAAAAAAAATGCCAACAATTAATATAAATCATCAAAGTTCCCAATTCTAAAAGGCAAATTAACAATTTAAGGAGGTTTAATGAATTATAATTTCGAAATGTTGTAATGGTTTCTAAGACCTTTTTTTGGAAATCTAAATGAAAATTTTATTTCATTTATTGGAGACAAATAATAAATAGTAAAAACTGTTTTAAGGAATAGAAATTTATCGAACTTATTGAATTACAAAACTTTAAAGAACACCAAACTTTTAGGAATTTGTCCATCACAAAATTAAAATTCTCACAAAAATCTAAATATTTATCCATAATTTTCCCTTTTTACTAATTTTACTTATTTTTACAATTATTTCCCCAACCCTTTAATGTTCTTATCAAGATTTTGTTTTCACCAAAAAAAACAAAAAATATAAAAAAAGGAAAAGCTTTTCAAATTTTAATACCGTCAGTTCCACTTAAAAAAGACAACTTTCTGGCTTATTTATAAAACTGAAGCAAAAATTGATCCTGTTCGAATAACAAAAAATAAAAGAAGATTTAAGTTAATTCAAAAATTAAAGACCCTTGGTTTTGGTTTATTAATAATCGTCTTCCTTTTTGAGAAAAAGAATTTGAAAATATTAACTGGCAATCAAATAACTTAAAAGAATGAGAAATTGAACTGGATAAATATCGAATTAATCAATTAGAAAATAGCTCAAGTTGGAAATGTCGTTAGGTTTTTTTTAATTTATAAAATAAACTGAAAATTTTTGAAATTTTCTTTTTAAACTCTGTTTCAGTCAAAGGGGCCCAACGTTTTTTTCAAATATCAATTATTTTATATAATTGACCTTTGAAGAACAAATAAGAAATAAACAGAATAATACACCTCAAAGAAATGTTGATACGTGTCTGAAAGAATATTAATAAATCAATAGCTTTTCTTAAAAATTTCAAAACTCAAATTCTTAGGGCCCTATTGAGAAAAACAACGATGTTTGTTTTGAACTTCTACTGGTATTTGAATAATAAATATCAAACATTTTTCACTTCATTTTGCATACTTTTCTTTTAGAAATTAAGCCCTCAAACAAAGTTTGTTGGTATTTGTGGTCTCTATTTGAAAAAGGAAATGAAAATGACGT